TGTGTAGAAGAAGTCCCACTCGTGCTTGATTTCATGCAGTTGGTTCTAGCAGCCCAATCTGTCATGTAGACCGATATTGAACTCCCAGAAACAAAAAAAATTTTGAGAAATTCGCAATATCCATACCGAGAGTGTTCGGTGCATTGCTGTCGTCTTTCGAAGACATTTTTTTCGAAAGTGTTTAGCTTTAATACGTCTGATTATCAGTTTTATGACTTAAAGTATTTCTAATTTTTCTTGCGGTTTTCAAGAAAAAGTTTTCAAGATTACGTTTCAACTTTCTGAATGATTTCCATGACAAATGAGCTTGTTGTTTTCATATTCCACTCTGACGTTTTCGATGCGCTGTAAAATTGAAACACCTCAAGTAGGAATGCTTTTTCGCTTACTAAATGCAATATGTCCGGTCATTTTTGGGGCTCTGCCGCTTCGACATTTGTTAGTTGATTCCCGCTGAAGTATCACATTTCATTCTCCTTCAACAAGGCGATCCATTATGATTTCTGTTACAAAATGTCATCAATCATTTGTTTTTAACGATCGCATCACGTATTTCAAAATGATCATTTTATCAAGATATAATCGAAAACAAAAGTCCTTCTCAATTTATCATTTTTCACCTGATTTGTCATTTGACTTGTAGTTGGAGAGAACAATTCGTGTGTTCTTTGCTTCACAGATAGGGATAAATGATAGCATCGAATTTTATGAACAGTTTTCGAAACATTCAAAATGTGAAATCAACTCTTGAGAACAAAGTAGGCTATATTATTTGTTGGATATTACATTAGACAGGCTAATGTTCGCGAGAGAGTTCTATAAATTGAATGTTTGATAAATTTTCCAGNCTCGTCACGCTGAGCCTAACTCATTGAGCTGAGTAACAAAAGTGACGATCAATCGTAACATATAAATCAACAATTTGTATGCAGATATTTCTTCAGCCAAATTATCCAAATGAATTCAACAAGAAATCGAATCATAAAAGAGGAATGCTACAGAAAACGCTGCGTAAACATAAAACCGTGATATTTGAATGGCACCAGACAAGAATTTCGTTAGAAAGAGTGTTTTTATTGAATTCCACCTAAGCGCATAGCAATCGTAAAAACATCATTTCCAAATGCTTCGTTCAAATGAGACGTTTGATGATGGTCGTCCTTTGTCGGTTCATTGAATTCTTCAAGAAGGAATTTCGATTCTGTTCACTGTACTGAGGCGTCGTCGTTTTTATTGCTAAACATCATCTTCAAATAACATCGCATCGAAGTAAACACATTTGTCCTCGTCCAACAAACAGCATGTGAGCGCAAGGTATTCGACAGTGTCAGTGCAACAATGCAATTGCAAAACCGGATATGGCGCTTTACTTATCTGTCTTATTACTTAAATTAAAACATTTCACAATTCCTTCTCAACCATCAACCATTCGAAGAAACCAGCGACGACGACGACGACGACGATGTTATGCGTGCCCCCGTCCTTACTCAGCAAATCCTACTCATCACCAGCAGTCAACGCTCTTGAGTTAGCCACCGAAGGTATTTCCAGTTATTTTTGAATCAGTAAATGCTGATTCCTTTGCTAGTTCTATCGGGCAGCTGGTTTTATTGAGATGTTGCTAAGCGAACTTGTTGCAATATTCATTGATGGTTCTATAGTCTACATAACTGAGCAAAATTACTCAAAGCAACAAACTGTTAAACAGTCACTTTGTAGTTGATCATTGTCGTGATAATAAGCTATGAGTTTGTTTGGGAAACAACGTGCTCGAGTGTACCATCAAGATAGATGGAAAAACTGTGTGATACAAAAAGCGAGTGTGCATGTGCCCTAAAGCGTTCTCTGCAGTGATTTAAGCGCACTGCTTGGTTTTTGCCGACGGAGTGTTCCACAGTTTTTTTCAATCCTGCATTTTTCTTTAGTCATCATTTGAGTGCCTAATTAGACCATTTTGAATGCGATTTTTTTCAGTTAGATTTTGTACATTTGAAAATGAGCTTCAGAAAAAAGTTAGTGATAAGTAATACATGTAAACATGTCAAACGTAAAGTCTTAAACTGTGATATTCTTCATCAAACGACCGTGTAAACTGTTCGAAGTAAATTCCATCTAACTTCAAATCATTTAATCCACTGTTAAATTCATCCATTCTTCCGGTGTTAATCCATTGCCGTTGAACGATCACAAATTGTTTCATCTGTCGAATGTTATTTCCGACTGTGTAACATGCGCCGAGTAGAATGAGAGGATGCGCGATAATGCGATGATGAAAGTCAAAGAAGAGGAACTTTGACTTCTTCAACCGACTACAAAGCGCGAACCGGTTTTTTCAAGAAATAATGATAACATTATTCTTATGATAAGCATTAACAACATATGAAAGGACATAATTATTCTTGTTGGCAAGATACAGCCCCCACGACGACATTTCGATAAGAGAACAAAAAAAGAAGTGAACAGTCAGTATGCTGCTTGTCGGAGGGAAAGTCCATGAAAAGGAAATACAGCAGTGTACTGCATTCACGATTAATATTTCGACCGTATGATTGAGCTGATAGTACGTTTTTGAGATTGTTTAAAACTGTCATTTGTGGTTTTTTATCGAAAAAAATCATTCATCAAATTTGCTGAACCATTTGATTGAGTTTGATGAGGAATCAGGCAAACAGAATTGAACGAATGAATTCAACAAGAATCGCTTACTATTGCAGTGAAAGTGTTGAGTGAGTTGGATAAATGTGATGATACTTGTTCCACATCAAGTTCTATCGATGTTGCGTTTGATGTTGTTGAAGATTTCAATGCGGATACTTCGAATGAGTGAGTTTTGTCAGACCTTTTTCAATTGGCAGCAATCATTTTCGACGGTTTCGTTATCATACAGAGAGCATGAATGATTTCACATATACTTTGAATCGACTTTTCATTAGTCGCCTTCATAAATTCACAGGTTTCCACTCAAAAAGAATACACACCAAAATGTTTTCAGTAGACAAAACCCCCGCACCAACTGTATTTGTTTGATGAAAAGTGTAGAAGAATTCGCAAGTTTAGTGCAATTTTAAGAGTGAAATGATGATAGCATCTATGCGGTGATNCCTTTCGATTGCAGTTGAGATAAGAAAATTTGGGTTTCTTGATTGCAGAAAACTTATCCCTATTTTGACCACCAAGTTGTGATGAAATTAGCTTCCATAATGAGGGAATGTTCGCTGAAACCAACATTATGAACCCCGTATTGCTACTATCTCTCCCAGCCACCTTTACACCTATCATCAACAATAGCGATGGTCATTCCTTCATCTATAATCATTTCGTCAAGATAATCGCTCTAAAAACAAACCGACCACGGGAGAACCTACATTCAAGTTCCTTACAAGAGATGATTAATGAACCAATCAAATTGAATCGGCGTATTATTGTTTGAAAACATTTGTTTTTATATTCGACTGTATTCAGTAACGTTCGATAGAATTGTTGAGCTGTACACTCAAATGAATGTTATCAATCGTTCCAGTAACGTGAGCTATACCTCATCGTCAGCAGCTTCTCTACGACACGTCGGTGACGGGCCATCAACGAGTCCGCCGCCAAACGAAGCAGAAAGTTTGTTTTTTGATAGGAATTTTTCAAATTTCGCATGAAGTTTTTCCTAGTATTTCTACCAAATTGAATTGGCTAGCTCGAAGCATTTATTGCTAAATTATCGGCATTGTAGATTAGTGAAAACAATCAGCCGAAATGTTTACACATATTGGTGAAGAATTATTTCATCGGCGCTCATTAATTTCGATGATTTCAATGTTTACATTCAACTAATTTTTTAAATTAATTTTTAATGACTTTAATGATTTTGATTAGTTGTCGTTTTCCTTGTAGAAGGCACCGTGAAACTCACTGTTAAGGCAGAGAGTTTGTTTTCATGGCGACGATGTTTGTTATTATTTACACTGAATCAGTGAATTGCTCTAATAATTCGATTTTTAATCGCAGTCCTGTTTTAAACATAACATAGATAACGTAATTCAGTTCACAACCACTTCAGAATCATTCCTTGAAGTGTATTTCACATGATCCAAAAAATGGAAACGCTCAAAGAAGTCTTATAGAGCAACGCGTATTTTCAGCGTTGCCAAATGGTCGGCTGACATTACGGGATCGTATCACCGAGAATATCGGTAATTGGCTTGACCAACTGGCTGAAGCGTTTGCAGAAACCAACGAAGATGACAACAGTAACAGCAATATGAATTCACAAAGCAAACCTGCTGAACCAGAAAAGCTAAGCGCTAGAGCGCTCAGAAGAGATATCCGACGTTGTTGTGAGTGATCAATTTGCAATTCATGTTATCAGCAAAACTCTTCGTCGATAATGATCGCTTGTGAAGAGGAATGATTTTGAGGAAAAAACTCAGAACGGATATTTGAAAGTATTCATTCATCGAAAATAAACTCGATCGCAAATAATAAAAGCTAACGTAAGAACGAAACTAGATGATAATTTCGTGAATGTTTCATTTGCAGTGAACTGTTCAAAACCCTATCTACAAACATGGGTTGTGCTTCACGATTTACTTATTTGGAAGGATCCACTCACATCACTGATGGCATTCTTCGTTAGTCCAATTGTTTTTCGAAATCTTAAGCAAATCCTCCTCACCTCATGTTCATTATTCTCATTATGACTATCCGAGTTTACACAGTGATTGTTCCTGAATCAGTGAAAATCGAGTAGAGCTCGTGAAAAATAATTTTCAACGATTTTTTGCGATTGTTCGTGTTGAAATATGCTTTTCTCATCTCCAAACGTTAGTGATCATTTGAAGTTGAGAGCATTTTTGGCAAGAGATTATTGATGAGATCAGCGAAAATCGAAGTCTCAGCTAATTGATCTCATTTCAGATATACGCTCACATGTTTTACACTGGTCATTTGTGGCCAACATTTCTGGGTCTGATCTTGTTGCAGCTATTTTTCAACTATTTAACAACACAAAAGTGAGTTTAGATCAGATTCTATTCAATATTTCTCAATTAAATTAATTATCTCCATGAATAATTCTAANTGTATTTAGCAAAATGATTTTATTCAATAAGCTGACAACATTCTGTGCTGTTCTCTGGTGGCAATATGTAATATTACATGTTCCATCTGTATAGATTATTGTTATTATAGGTTTCAATATGATAGCTTTCATTTATGTGCCGTCACAGATTTGATTGCAACGAACTGAGAAATCTCCATCAACACCACCTTAATTATTTGTTTCAAGATTTGACATGAACGAATGCATTCCCTCGTAGGATTGCTTTTCGTATTGGAATTATCAGTTACTTTTCAGGAAGATTAAAGTTGGCTTATATTTTATGCCACGACAAGACATAGAACCACCACGTTTCGATCGTTCTGGAGTGAGTCTGATATTCGATATCGCCTATAAAGGACAGATTTTGTTTCACTTTTTAGCCAACTGCTTGGAGAAAGTAAACAAGTAAGCGTCTAAATTCTTGAGGAAAGGCGATTTGTTGACCTTTTGAGTCATTAGTGAATGTTGAATTCAGAGGAGAATCAACAAGATTTCGATGTTTCTTATCGAAAGTGTACTTTTGCCTGACAAGTCATTAAAAGTTATTAAAAATAATCGTTCATCGTTAACATGATTAACTCATATCAAAAGCGACTTGTTTACTGTACCTAACGTGTTTTTTCACTGCGACTACTTTAGTTCAATTGATTCATTGTAAACAATTAAAAATGTTATGCACTCAACTCCCCGTTGTGATGCGTAAACATTAAATGCCTGGCCATGAACATGTTACGTTCATTTCATTCAATAAAAACTACGATACAAGTACGGTAC